GCACAAGCCTTCCTAGTGCCGCCATGGCAAACGAAGAGCTGCTCTGACTGCCGTATACAGGCCGTAGCATCGACATACGCTCCTAGGGCACGCACAGGGGACAGCAACTCGGGCGTGCGGCTCTCCTGTCGGACGTTAAAGCGTGCCAGCTGGATGGGCCGATTGGAGTGGGCAAGTGGAAGCACCTTGGGCAGGAACGCCACATTCGGCCAGAGGGCAACACCCGAGCCATCGGAGTTCCACCTCAGTCATGTATCGCTCACGGAGAGGGCATGCAACTCCCCAACTCGCTTCCCTGAGGTTATGGCAAGCAGAAATGCTGCCTTCAAGGACAGCCACTTAAGCCCCACCTGGGCCAGGCGCTCGAAGGGAGGAGATGATAGGGCATCTAGCACTAGGGGCAGGTCCCAAGCCGGAGCCCTCGGGGTACTAGGGGGACGCTGCCGTAAGGCCCCTCTCAGGAAGAGGGACACCGACCTGTGGCGCCCCACCGTGGCGCCGTCGACCCTGACATGTTGGGCAGAGATAGCAGCCATATATACCTTAAAAGTGGTGGCGACCGAATCTAGGACCAACCCCAGGTAAGTGACCCGTTGACCAGGCAGCTCTTCCCGGTGTTTACTGTCAGGCCCAACCGGGCTACGTGACATAAGAGGCGCGCCGTATCCTGGGCCACTTGGGACCGGGACGGCGCACAAACCAGCCAGTCGTCTAGGTACGGCAGGACCTTCATGCCCTGTGCCTGCAGGGGTGCGAGAGCTGCCGCCACGACCCTGGTAAACACCCTTGGAGAGAGGGAGAGACTGAAGGGAAGTACCCGGAACTGATAATGCTGGTCCTGAAAGGCAAACCTCAGGAACTTCCGGTGGTGGGACGCAATCGGCACGTGGAAGTAGGCGTCCCTCAAGTCCACGGTTGTGAACCACTCCCCCTGTGTGACAACACGGAGGGTGTCTGCTGTGGTCAGCATGTGGAAGGGCAGCACCTTCAGGAATCTGTTGATTCCTCTGAGGTCCAGTACTGGACGAAATCCGCCGACTTTCTTGCTCACCAGAAAGTACGCAGAGTAGAACCCCCCGGACTGAAGCAGGGGGTCTACTGGCTCGATTGCGCCCTTGGCCAAGAGGACGGACAGCTCTTGGGCCAGAGCTAAGGCCTTCGCCGGGTCGCTGACAACTGTCATCTTGACCCGCCCGAAGGCTAGGGGCCGGTGTCGGAACTGCAATTCGTATCCCTGGGTTAGGGTGGAAACCACCCAAGGGTCGGAAGTACAGGAAGCCCAGTAGCTGAGCTGCTGCTGGGAAAAGCAGCAGACGACCGGCCCCGGGACTTCAGGGCCTAGCCCCCCGACCCCTTGGGGGGCGGCGGTAAGGCTCTGGGGCACAGGGCTGCCTAGAGGGCCGGCGACCGGGGGCACGAAAGTCATTAGGAGGCGGTTGAGTAGACCGCTGGGACCTCCGTAGACCACCACTGAAAGCCAGTGGCAGAGTGCGGCTGCTAGAGGGGCCCCTGGGCCCGCTGGGAGTAGGCACATGCCTACGCAGACCCGAGAGCTGCTGCCTGGTCTGCTTAGCTTGGGCAGCACACTCTAGTGCCGCCAGGGCAGCTGCTCCAAACAGTTCCCCTTGTTCGACTGGCACGCCGCGGAGGACACTCCTACATGTCTCCGTTAGTGGTGACTGAGCCAGCCAAACCTGGCGTCGAGTCTGCACCAGTAGGGACATAACTCGTCCCAATTCCCTAGTCATTAGGGCAAAGGCCTGCAGTGATGCATCACTGAGGCCCAGCAAAGAAGGCTCAGCCGGAGCCTGCTGCAGAGAGGCGGCCAGCATTAGATGGGAGAGAGAGTTCTCGATACGACCCATGCGTGCCGCTGCGTCGTAGGCCTTACAGAGCAGTTCGTCAGTGACCCTGCACTGAGGCCGAGGGCACCTGGCATCAGGGCCTCATCAGGAGCCAGAATCAGGGAGGCGATGGCAGGCTCGATGGGTGGCATGCGACCCAGCACAACCCTCGCCGGATCCTGCATGGCAGCCAGGGGCCGGGCATCAGAGCTGAAGCGGGAGAGGGCCTTGGTGTCTCTCCAGCATGCATGGAGCTCCCTCAGGTACTCCTCCGAAGGAGGAACGGTGAGGGGGACAGGGGTAGGGCTACGCCTGAAGAAGGCGCTAGCCTGAGCCGCGTCGGCCTGCGTAACCGGAAGCTGCAAGTGTGCCAGGGCCGCACGAATAATGGCCGCCATGGAGTCGTCCTCCACGCCCTGCAGAGAGCCCTGAGCAGAGGAGTGGGAAGCCTCCCCGGGAGTGAGCGGGGCCTCGTCCTCCACCTCTTCATTGAAGAGGTTAGCCGAGGCCGCTAGTGACATGGCATCCTCATGCAGAGGTGCGGCAACCGAAGGAGGGTCAGGCGGCAAGCCAGCAGTCCCTATACCGGCCCCTGGTTGAAGGGCTAAGAGGAGCGACTTCATCATGTCCATGTCGGCGGCTAACCGATCCACCTTAGAGGACAGCCTGTTTCTAGTCCTCCTGTTGGGGGGCGAACCCGTAGCCATCGCTCCCTCGGGTCGCCGGGAACGGCCGAACTTACCTGGGGGAAGATGCGACAAGGAGAGGTGTCCGTTGGCTGCTGCCAGACGCTTCACCTCTGCGACTCTGGCCGCTCTAAGCGCCCAAGGCATGCAGCTACAGTTCATGCAGGCGTCCTGCGTGAGACCCTCCCTCAAATGCTCGAGACCAAGGCAAGAGGGGCAGCGGTCGTGGCCATCCTCGGGCTCGAGAGAAGCCATACAGGCGCTACATGGATGATCCATCATGTAGGTAGCCGGATGCAGCGTAACCGGGAGCGGGGTGCGAGAACACAGCCTTCACCAGTTACCTGCTGAACGGAAGGAGTAGAGCCCTGCTCCTACTCGCCGAACACGAGAGGGGTGTAATGTCCTACACCCGCGTTACTAGCAGAGGGAGCGGGGAGCGAGAGCACTGCCTTCACCTAGCTAAGTAAATGAAAGTGCAAGGCTACTAGCAGAGGGAGCGGGGAGCGAGAGCACTGCCTTCACCTAGCTGAGTAAACGAAGCACGGAGCTACCAGCAGAGGGAGCGGGGAGCGAGAGCACTGCCTTCACCTAGCTAAGTAAATGAAAGTGCAAGGCTACTAGCAGAGGGAGCGGGGAGCGAGAGCACTGCCTTCACCTAGCTGAGTAAACGAAGCACGGAGCTACCAGCAGAGGGAGCGGGGAGCGAGAGCACTGCCTTCACCTAGCTACTGTAAGTAAACGAAGCACAGAGCTACCAAAATAAGGAAGCTTAACAGGGCAGCTAGCCAGTCGGCTGCTGCTCACAGTCAAGGAACACTCTTACCAGGAGCGGGGGTGAAAATACTGCCTTCACTGGTTGAGTAAAATAGCGAAACACAAGCTAAGGAAACTGGCTTCTAAAGAAAAAACAGCACCGGTAATCCGGTGCTTACCTCAAGCGTCAGCCAAAGTGGCTGACCGGGCAGGACACAGTTAGGCTGAGCAGCGCTACTGCTAACTAGCTAAACAAGAGGACACAACAAAAGCTGGAACTCAAGATGCTGATGATAGCTTGATCAGAAAAGTACAGAGAGCGCAACAAGGGCAACTCCTGGGAGAGGGGTCGGAAACGCTGCAGTTGAAGTTTTCTGCGCAGCCGGCCACAGCTCCTGGAGGACGGGTAACCCTGCAGCTCCGACTGGATCAGTCGCGAAGCTGCACGCAGCCAGCTGGATGCAGAGAAATCCTTAAATCAAACGTTCCAACTGAACGCTGTAGGCTACAATAGTGTAGCCACGGTACTCTCGCGCAGCGAGAGGATGAAAGGAACAGATCCTCTGATGACACTGGCTGATATAGCCGGTGTCACGTGGGTCACAGGTGACTTTGTTGTTATTGGTACTCGTACGGCACACGCGCGCGATGGACATATCCAGTGCTAAAGCACCGCCTCAGGTCAGTAGGGACGAAATAGAACCACATGAACTATGATGTCTGTGCTGCACTCAGTCCGCTCAGTTTGCTAAGAATGATATATTAAAATCTACTTTGAACTGATGTGCATGGTAGTGTCTGAAAATGAGGTTTTTTTGATTGGCTAAAGATTTCCTGTGGGTCAAACAACTCAATCCCCATATTCCACCTTAATGTAGTGCCTCGGATTAAAAGAACAACTCTACATCATGTAGAAAGAAAAGAGGAAATGAGTTGATCAGGTGCAGGGGAGTTTAGCCTAGCTTAGCATTAAGACTCGAAACAGGGAACAGCTAGTCTGATTCTGAAACCTGTTCTGAAATGTAAAAAAACATTTCTTTAACTCTGAACCTACTTTGAATCATCCTCCAGATTCCTGAAGTCATTACAGTGCCATGTTTTGAGTCATTGTTCCTGTACAGTGTACAGAGACAAAAACCTGGGCCAAGTGACTATCTGGAGAACCAGTCTCACGGCATTTCGTGTTATAGTCACGAAATTAATCTATTGATTCGTGTTCACCAACACGATTTCGCCATTTTTTTCGTGTCACACAGAACGATTTTAAAAGCAATGTAAATAATAACAAATTAGAAAGAAAAAGACATTTAAAAAAAAAATACAGATTTAAGTATTCTGACACAGAACGATTTTAGAAGCATTGTATTTATATTGGTAGTATGTTTCGTGCCTGCACCAAATAATAACAAATTAGAAGGAAAAAAAGATGACATAAAATACAGATTTCAGTATTCTGAGGCTCTGAGCCCCATTTCTTTTCCTCACTGACGGCAAAAAAACTCAGACATTATACAATTTAAAATAAAAGGGATAGGGTTAGGCTTAGGGTAAGATAAGAACATGTTTTTATGAACCACACAGCTTCTGGTCTTCCAAGACCCGACCGGACAAAAAGACGTGTTGCAGGCACGAAACATACTACCAATAGAAATACATTGCATTTATATCGTTCTGTGTGACACGAAAAAAATGTGAAAATCGTGTTGGTGAACACGAATCAATAGATTAAATTAATTTCGTGACTAATAACACGAAATGCCGTGAGACTGGGTTGGAGATGCAGTGCAGAGCAAACCGTTGGGAACTAGTTCCACATCCCAACTCTTCCTGAACCCAAAATGTTGTCTTCTCTTGGGGTACATGTTAAAGAAAATACACTGTGTAATTAACATAATACTTTGGACAGAGCTAAGCTAGCTATTTTCCCCTGCTTGCAGTCTTTATGCTAAGCTAAGCTAAGCTAACCAGAGCAGTGGAATTAAAAACAGTTCCAAGGGACGCACACATGAAATGCCAAACAAAGGGATCAATTTGAAACAGTCTTATGTAAGAGTGGTGCAGGAATGAGTCCTCAAACCTGGAAACAAGTCCGCATTTTACCAGTAACAAGTATCCTCGTCTTGAAGACAACTGTTTTCGGAATGTATTTTTTGTTAGATGCCTGAAGTAAAATCTGTGGTTATCACAAGCTTAAGATACTTATTTGAATGACATTACATATGTCAGTAAATACCTCACTGGTGAATGTCTGAAGTGTGACTAAATGAGACGACTAAACATCATCACGCGAAACATTAGCCGTCTTTAGCTTAGCGGTGGTGATATGCAGCCATGTTGTTAGTTTATTGCCTAATGTTAGCTTTTTACTTCTGCCGATTGCATTTATGCCTCAACTATTATAAAAGTTGTGTTAATATATGGAGATTATCCAGCTGAAAAAACATGGAAGTATCAAAAAAGTGTGACTGCCACAGATCTTATTTTCTGAAATATTCCAATTTAAATGTTTTATGTGAAAATCCCATTGAGGGAGCTCATGCAATGCTAACTTCCTGGTTGGCCTACATACATTTATCATCACTGCACCACTCATAACACATTTATTTTGCTGAACTTGTGTTTGATAAGGCTTGATTGAATATTCCTAAAGTGTGAATGTAAAGTAAAAGTATTTGTTCCCTTCATCATTCTCAGCTATCCACTGATGTTGCTATGTGTGCAAAACAGATTGTTTCTGCAAATCCAGGTGTTAGAGTTTCCATTTCAAAATGTTTTGGGACAGCCATGGAAAACTGGAGGTGGAGACATTCTTCTTGCTGTGACTTGAGACAAGTTTTTCCAAAATGAATCCTCTGCTCACTATAGTCTCTTCAAGGCCTGGGGGTAGTACTTGAGGAAGATCCTGCGGGCGATCTCGTACGTGTCGCCCTGAGGCTTGGTCGGATATTTTCGGGCGTTGTAAATGAACCCCTTCTCCACCTGGAACACGGCCTGGTTAAAGGTGTCCTGCTTGTATGGCCGTCCAGTGTGCAGACACTCTACCAGGGTTTCAACGAAAAGACCCCATCTCTGGGCGTAGTAGTCCTCCATGAGGCCCCCCCACTCTTTGCTGGCGTAGTCCAGGATCTCACCGCTGGGACCCCACAGAGTGAGCTGGTTCCTGGCATTCATGTCGTACAGCTGAGCCTCCTTCTCATCCAGGGCGAAGGAGCGGGCCCTCTCCAGCCATGTCCCCAACAGGAAGTTGCGGTCGCTGTTCAGCAGACGGTTGAGTTCAGGCAGGAGGTCGTACACCAGCACCCCCCCCGCAGTCAGCAGCTCCGGCAGCTTCTGGTTCTTGAAAGCATCTGCGATATCCTGGTAGAAGCTTGTTGTCAGGACTTGTAGGACCTGCCGAGTCACGTCCACGAGATCGCAGTGGAAAGTCTCCTTGGACATGAGGGACGGAGCCGCCTCGATGATCAGTTTCCAGGCTTTGTACAAATCAGCCGGGTCGTACCACCGGTCAGCGTTCATGTGGAGAGAGGGTCTGTGCACCAGGGGGCTGTGGTTGTGGTTTTTGTAGTGTGGCACGGTGCAGTTGTAGACGCTGGCGAACAGGAGCCTCCACGCCGCCGCCAGGCTGTCCTGCGTGCTGCCGTAGCGACGCATAGCGTACAGCGAGACCCACTTGGACAGGTTGACCGGCTCCTTACGCCACGCCAGCTCGCTCATCAGCTCGTACATCACCGGATTCTGCTCAATGCCCTCGGGCGTCATGCCTATGCCAACCAGGGTGGAGTTTGGGAACTGTAAGGCTTTGAAGGGCCCCGAGTTCATGCTCTCCACCGTGCCAAAGAATCCGCTGTTGCCCCCAAAGTTCTGCAGCATGCACCAGATGAAGGGCTGCCCGTAGAAAGACTCTGTGTAGGAGAAAATTGGCTCCGTCTCTGCAAACAGGTCCAGCACGATCATTCTGCCCAGAGGCACTCCGTGTAGTAGAGCCTGAATCTGGGCCGGCTTCCAGAACGCTGTGTCACTGAAGAACAGCCAGCCCTGCATCAGCCAGATCGCCTGAGGATCAACTGGGGACAAAACATGAGATTTAGACCAGGGGCAAGAAGGGGACAGTTCTCCAGCATGGCTGAAAAGTCAGCAAGAAACTCAAGGGGGCTTTCTGTCTAGAAGAATTGAACAACAGGCAGGGTTGAGATAGTTACTATAAATGTAATCCGTTACAACTACTAGTCATATTTTCAACAATGTAATCAGTAAGCTAATACCACAGGTACAAAGTAATGTAACCTGATTACTTTCACCTACCTTAAATTAAATGCAAATACATAAGAGAGAAAGGAATAACAATAAGATGTGTTCCACTTAGAGGTATTATGTAAAGCAATAAAATAATATGAAAAGAAGAAAACTGGATATTTTCTATCAAAAATATGTCACCTTAAATTAGAGGCAAGGCCTACATACAATGTATCAGTAAAGTAGTAAAGTACTGTTTATGTAGTGAAGACAGTATTTTTTGTGTCCTGGTTACGTAATCCTGTTACATAGGTAAATACACATCTGAGTTGACAAATATGACATGTGGGGTACCTCAAGGCTCCATCTTGGGGCCTCTTCTCTTTAACATCTACATGCTACCACTGGCTCAGATAATGAAAAACAACAAAATAAGTTACCATAGCTATGCGGATGACACACACATTTACGTAACAATTTCACCAGGAGATTATGCTCCAATTCAAACACTGAGTAAGTGCATTGAACAAATCAATGACTGGATGTGTCAGAACTTTCTCCAATTAAACAAAGATAAAACTGAGGTAATGGTTTTTGGAGCCAAGGCAGAACGTATAAAAGTTAGCGCTGAGCTTCAGTCTGCAATGTTCAAAGCAACAGATAAAGCCAGAAATCTAGGTGTAGTCATGGACTCTGACCTGAGTTTCAACAGTCACATTAAAACAGTTACTAAATCAGCCTACTATCACCTAAAGAATATATCTAGGATTAAAAGACTAATGTCACAGCAGGATTTGGAAAAACTTGTCCATGCTTTTATCTTCAGTAGACTCGACTACTGTAATGGTGTCTTTACAGGTCTCACTAAAAAATCTATTAGAAAGCTGCAGCTAATTCAGAACGCCGCTGCTCGAGTCCTCACTAACACTAAGAAAGTGGATCACATCACTCCTGTTCTGAAGTCCTTACACTGGCTTCCTGTGTGTCAAAGAATTGATTTCAAAATACTGCTGCTGGGTTATAAAGCTTTGAATGGTTTAGGCCCAAAATACATGTCTAACCTACTGCTAAATTATGAACCATCCAGATCTCTCAGGTCTTCAGGGACTGGTCAGCTTTCTGTCCCCAGAGTCAGAACTAAACATGGTAAAGCAGCATTCAGTTATTATGCTCCAAATATCTGGAACAAACTCCCAGAAACCTGCAGGTCCGCTGCAACTCTTACTACTTTTAAATCCAGGCTGAAGACTTTTCTTTTTGCCGCTGCTTTTAATTGAACTATTCACATCTTAAACTGCACTGTAACTTTTATCCATGTATTTTTTCTTTTAATGTTTATTTTATTATCTTTTCTTTTTAATGACTGATTTTAAATGCCATTTTCATAATGTCTTCCATTTTTGTAAAGCACTTTGAATTGCCTTGTGTTGAAAGGTGCTATATAAATTGCCTTGCCTTGCCTTGCCTTGCCTTGCCTTGCCTTGCCTTGCCTTGCCTTGTGGCCTTGCCTTGGCCTTGCCTTGCCTTGCTTGCTTGCCTGGAACTTGCCTTGCCTTGCCTTGCCTTGCCTTGCCTTGCCTTGCCTTGCCTTGCCTTGCCTTGCCTTGCCTTGCTCTTGCCTGGCCTTGCCTTGCCTTGCCTTGCTTGCCTTGCCTTCATTGCCTTGCCTTGCCTTGCATTGGCCTTGCCATTGCCGTGCCTTGCCGTGCCTTCTGCCTTGCCTTGCCGTTGCCTTGCCTTGCCTTGCCATTGCCTTGCCTTGCCTTGTCATTTGCCTGCCTTGCCTTGCCATTGCCTTGCCTTGCCTTGCTGCTTGCCTTGCCTTGCCTTGCTTGCCTTGCCTTGTCCTTGCCTTTGCCTGCCTTGTGCCTGCCTTGCCTTGCCTTGCCTTGCCTTGCCTTGCCTTGCCTTGCCTTGCCTTGCCTGCCTTGCCTTGCCTTGCCTTGCCTTGCCTTGCCTTGCCTTGCCTTGCCTTGCCTTGCCTTGCCTTGCCTTGCCTTGCCTTGCCTTGCCTTGCCTTGCCTTGCCTTGCCTTGCCTTGCCTTGCCTTGCCTTGCCTTGCCTTGCCTTGCCTTGCCTTGCCTTGCCTTGCCTTGCCTTGCCTTGCCTTGCCTTGCCTTGCCTTGCCTTGCCTTGCCTTGCCTTGCCTTGCCTTGCCTTGCTTGCCTTGCCTTGCCTTGCCTTGCCTTGCCTGCCTTGCCTTGCCTTGCCTTGCCTTGCCTTGCCTTGCCTTGCCTTGCCTTGCCCTGCCTTGCCTTGCCTTGCCTTGCCTTGCCTTGCCTTGCCTTGCCTTGCCTTGCCTTGCCTTGCCTTGCCTTGCCTTGCCTTGCCTTGCCTTGCCTGCCTTGCCTTGCCTTGCCTTGCCTTGCCTTGCCTTGCCTTGCCTTGCCTTGCCTTGCCTTGCCTTGCCTTGCCTTGCCTTGCCTTGCCTTGCCTTGCCTTGCCTTGCCTTGCCTTGCCTTGCCTTGCCTTGCCTTGCCTTGCCTTGCCTTGCCTTGCCTTGCCTTGCCTTGCCTTGCCTTGCCTTGCCTTGCCTTGCCTTGCCTTGCCTTGCCTTGCCTTGCCTTGCCTTGCCTTGCCTTGCCTTGCCTTGCCTTGCCTTGCCTTGCCTTGCCTTGCCTTGCCTTGCCTTGCTTGCCTTGCCTTGCCTTGCCTTGCCTTGCCTTGCCTGCCTTGCCTTGCCTTGCCTTGCCTTGCCTTGCCTTGCCTTGCCTTGCCTTGCCTTGCCTTGCCTTGCCTTGCTTGCCTTGCCTTGCCTTGCCTTGCCTTGCCTTGCCTTGCCTTGCCTTGCCTTGCCTTGCCTGCCTTGCCTTGCCTTGCCTTGCCTTGCCTTGCCTTGCCTTGCCTTGCCTTGCCTTGCCTTGCCTTGCCTTGCCTTGCCTTGCCTTGCCTTGCCTTGCCTTGCCTTGCCTTGCCTTGCCTTGCCTTGCCTTGCCTTGCCTTGCCTTGCCTTGCCTTGCCTTGCCTTGCCTTGCCTTGCCTTGCCTTGCCTTGCCTTGCCTTGCCTTGCCTTGCCTTGCCTTGCCTTGCCTTGCCTTGCCTTGCCTTGCCTTGCCTTGCCTTGCCTTGCCTTGCCTTGCCTTGCCTTGCCTTGCCTTGCCTTGCCTTGCCTTGCCTTGCCTTGCCTTGCCTTGCCTTGCCTTGCCTTACATGTAATCCGTTACTCCCTAAGCCTGACAACAGGTCATAATCGGGTCATCAGTTGTTTCACTTGTCACATCAGAACATCAGCATTCTGGCAGGAAGCTTTCGATCAGGACATTGGTGGTCAAGACGCTCACCTGCGGTCATGGAGGCAAAGACGGAGCGGCTGACTGCTGACAGGTAGGCGGGGTCAGAGGAGGGGGGGGTCATCTCGTTGAAGGTGTCAGTGTTGTAGATGTGATCTGTTCCAAACTGCTTCACCACCTGGGACAGGTAGAGGGAGCCGATCTGCAGGAACAGAGGGTCCCGGGGGTCTAAGACGTAGGAGCACGAGTAGCTGCAGTTGAAGTGAGCCCAGGGGCCCAGCCTGGTCACATTGGCTTCTGGGAACAGCCTGAAACACAGGAAACACCTCAGAGGTTAGAGCTGAATCTGCACCTCACTGGGCCCAGCCATATTATCTTCACAGAAGTATCAGTATTAGGGCTGCACGATCTGAAAACGGAGTGTGATTAATTTGACAGACTTTGCAATTGCGATATGATTTATAGTTTTAGAGGGATTGATCAATTTCTCATTATCATTGAAACACATCTGTTTCAAACAAATATGTAAACATTTTGTATGCTGGGTTATATCTGCAGCAACACAACACTTCCTTTCAAATTTAATTTTAACACAGCGTTTGTTTACAAATATTGGGCTTCCTTGGATTTGGATATTGGGCTAGTCCATGCGGTGATTCTCATAGAATTGCGATTGAATGTGCAGACCTCAACTGTAACAGCATAAATGTCCCTCGAACAGTGAATGTGAAGCATTTGGTCTGCATGATAGACAGATAATACTATAATAATGAAGTTGAGTTTGTGAGAAATCTTTAAGCTGATCACGTTCATCAAGTTCTGGAGTTGTTATCTTGTATCTTGTGGGAGGCTGTGGCTCAGTGGGTAGCGCTGTGCGCTGAACTTCGAATCAGGGGTTAGCAAGTTCGAGTCCCACTGCAGTCATTATGTCGTTGTGTCCCTGGGCAAGACACTTCACCCCAAATTGCTCCTGTGGGGATTGCCCACAGTAATGAATGTATGTAAGTCGCTTTGGATAAAAGCGTCTAACAAGTGACATGTAATGTAATGTATATTCATATAAGATCAATGAATTAAGATTATTGAATTGAAGCTTGTGAACAATTCACAGTTAACAGCTGTTATTCCAGCGATCAGATTAATATTCATATCAACATTTAGGAAAACTAAGTATGGGATTGTTCTCAGCAGGTGACTTATATTAAATTACTTTAGATATCCCTGTTAGTACGAGCCTAAAAAAAATCAGCAGTTTATTTCTATAAGGTTGAAACCTAAACCAGCATGAGTCACCTGAGGATTCCAGCGGGAATGTTCCCAGAGAAGGCCGGCAGCACGGGAATCATGCCGAAGGATCTCATCCGCTCCAAGATTTTAAACTGCAAAAAGAGAGAAAAACATATAAAAAAAAGGTTTAATCCACTAACTAATGTGAACAGTTCAATTCAACTCTACCTTCTCATAAAGTGGATTAGATAAATGAGTTTGTTGTCACTGTTTGAAATCTTCACAAAACCGTTTGTGAGTGCAATGGTATCATAAAAAGAGAAAATACCTCTGAAGCCACTATTATGTAAAATAGTGATGTGTTAATAGTTTGTGTTTTAAAAAAATAAGACATACTGCAGTTTGTAACTGGTGCAGTCTGCTTTCAGCACATTCACTCAATCTCACTCATGTGTTTGTCACTACCACTTGGTGGTGCCAGAGTTATAAAAACATGATTCTACACATAGTGGCTTCATCTGTGTTGACAGGAATGGACGGTTCAGTACTTGGAGGAAGAGCTGGTTCACGTGCCAGGACTGAGGCAGGGGCCCTCCAAACTTGAAAAGGTTCCCCATTCGGTTCCAGGCCAGGAACGCGGGGCCGGAGAAGAACTCCTCGATCTCTGACTGGTTCAACCCGAGAGCCCTGTAAACCTGAAGGACACAACAAGGTAATAAGTTCATGTTCACATATCAATAAATGTATCGTGCTTCTATGGTAGCAAAGGTCAAATTAAATTACAATTTATCTTCCCGATCCTGTTAATGACTGGCTTTACAGTGGGGCAGTGATGACGTGTTGTTGAAGGAGGAACATCACAAGGACTTCCTCCACAGAAAGCAAGGAGAGTTTTAAATTGGATTTTCGATTATAGCAGAAAACAAGGTCTGTGGCAAACATTTGTTTATGATGCTTACATGTTTTGTTTAGTAGGATAATGTCCACATATTAACAACATTTTAATGATTTTTTGAAAGTGTAAATGCAATTACCAGAAGTAAAAAAAATAACGTTAGGCTATAAACAAACTATGTCATTCGCTTGGCTGAGCATCACCATTGCTCAGCTAAAGGCGGCTAATGTCCTGCTTGATGACCTTTAGTGGTCTCATTTAGTCACTTTCCTAAGACACATTGAGGCTTCAGATGTTCACCAGTGGGGTATTTACTGAAATACATTTTATGTCGTGCAACAAAACATGAACATCTGTTCTGTTTGTGTTAACCACAGACCTTATTTTGGAAATCTAACCAAAAACGAATTATATTGACTTTGAGTGAACCGGAAAGTGCTAAAAATGCCAACTAATTTTTCGACTCATTCCTGCACCACTGTTTTTGCTCTCAGAATAATGGATCTACTGATTGAATCTATTTAATCCCTTATCAATATTTAGCCCTTTTCGAGGAAGCACGTTAGACAAAATATAGATATTCAAATAAATATTAACGCTTACAGTACATTGACCCTAAGGAGTGTTTTTAACCAGTGTCTGATGTAGTTTCTGTAGGGAGTCACTCTGAGCCCTCACCTCTTGCCACAGGGCCTCCTGGCCAGTGAAGGCCAGCGGCAGGTTGATCCCATTGAGAGCCATCCAGTCGATCTCTCTCTCCCATCTGGGCCAGTCCCACCACACAGAGGAGTAGCTGAACGTGCACACGTTCTGGTAATACCGGAATCTAGATACAAACACACAAAAAACAGTTATTTTAAAACTGTCTTAAATAGGCCCACATGGGATAAATACTGAACAGGTATGAAAAAATAGAAATAGTAATCATCCTAAACTTTTTAGAGCTTGAGCCATATTGTGGACTAACAATCCAGTATGCTGACCTCTTATTCAACTGTGACCTTTGTTTAAATTGTCCCTCACATGTCCTCCAACTTTATTACATTGTGGAAGAATAATGACTAGCAGTCAGTGTTTGGACAGTTAAATGCTTCCCTTTGGACTGAAAATAAAACCATAACCTACAGTACAGTGCAACTGTGCTGACTTCAGATATTCTCAGACAGGTTTAATGTTGAAATCTCATGCCCTTTATTGACACTGTTTCATTACAACACTAATGTGATGGGAACAGAGACAATAGAAAAGACAACACAATAGAAAAGTGTCCAAATACATTCTTAAACAGATTCCTTTTGACCATGGCCATTTCTCACACCAACACTGCTGAGTGTTCATACTACATCTCTTTGTTACATAATTGTGTAACAGATATTTTAATTGTCAATTTCTATTGATTTTGTTGCTAAAACAATGTTCAGTTAAATCAAACAGGCACTGTTGTTTTTAAGCCTCAGTTTCCGGCAGCTGCTAAATAAGCCAAGCTTCCAACTGGCTCTTCGCCATCAAGTTATACTCATGGGAAAGTAAAGTGTGCCATGCCTGCATGGCTTCTTCAATCTAACGACTGTGCACATGACATTACTGGTGTGAACTGATGCGGCTCTAATGCACAACCGATAATTGAAAGGAAGGGTACTTTAAAGGGCTCGGCCGCAGCACAAGTGTCCATAGTGCTCACAGTAAACAATGAAAAGTAATGTGTGACAACGCTCCATTTGTCATGCACTCATGGGTTGGGATTTGCTGCGTTGCAGAGGAGGGGGCACCCAAACACTGCCATCATAGAGTTCAACACATAGACATCACATGGCACACATCGGAGGGCAGCAGTGTGAGTGGATCTGGTGGGAAAACAACTTTTGCAACAAAGTTTTTTGCTGACGTCAGTACATTTGCAATAAGAGCGTACACAGGTTATACAATAGGAGAAGTATTTACAAATGCAACAGCCACACCATTGTTTGGCTTTTGACTACATAAAGCATATAAACAAACATAACTATAATGAGGATACTTTTTAATAATGTTACATAAAGTTATTTGTTTTTACAGCACATGCAACTATAATTGTTTTTTCTATCTAATCTATCTATCTATTGTAGCATACTGTTGGCGCGGAGTGATACGTAGTGGTGTGTGTCTGGATGCATAGATGTACTGTATTACCATGGCTGAAGACGTATTAAGTCAATAAAGTCGCCTTATCTGAAATTAAAGCAATGTCTACGGATACTTCATTAGTCTCCATGTCATCCAGTCAGTAACACACATAAAGGCATATTACATCTACAAAACTTAAATGTGAAAGTACTAAATCATAAGGGTATTGTTTTATTATTTGTTTATTTTTAAATCATTCAATTACTATAGACACATAAGCCTACTCTATAAGAAATATGTTTTTATTAAAAGGTCACCCATTATGCAAAATCTTTTTCATGTCTTTTCTACATCAACATGTGTCCCCTCTGTGGAAAGAGACTCTGAAAGTGTCAGGTAAAAAGATTCTCTCACTTTTTGTCCTGATCCATTTATATAAAAAGTAAAAACCTGTCTGAAAACGAGCTGATCAGATTTTGGCCACTTTATGTCATAACGATTTTTTGGCTTGTGTAACCATTAGCCAATCACCAACCAAGGTAATTTTTACCTATTTATTAAGTATCAAACAGATATTTTTTAGTAACTATTTATATTTAAACATTGTAGCCTTTCTTTTATTAAATAATCTTTAAAAATGTATTTTAACATTTTGGTAAAGTGCATTTAAGTGATGACTGATTATTGCTACTATCTCTGCCTTTATGGATGTGTTCTTATGTATGTACTGCAGTGAGAGATGCCAACTGAATTTCGTTACACTGATGTGTGATGACAATAAAGATATTCTATTATATTCTATAGTTTAATCTTTAACACATCACAGGTCTTTGTTTACTGTAGTGTGACACAAAAAAAAAGAAAAAAGCACGAAAGCATAATTTGATGGAAATACTAATTATCTCAAAAATGTACAACAAGTACAGGACTACTACTGCTTACCTCCCCAATATTTTTTTTTTATTGAATTGAAAAGTAGAAATTATAAATGTAAGAATAAAGATGTGGACAGTGTGAGCTGCTGAATCAGCATTCCCACAGTTATAACTAGCGGAATGACAGACAGTCAGAGAGAGAGTAGTAACAAATACCGCTCGCGCTCAACTGCCTCACCGTATCCCGTGCGGAAAACACTTAATTTGGTTATGTGAAAAGTGAATAATGTAAACAGAATTTTTGTGAAATAAAAGTGGTTTAGTGTATTGGATATATGCCGAATGAAAAACCTCCTGCTAATGCTTCTTTAAAGCTGTGTCAGTAAGCTAACAGTGTGCTGTGTTCACTGACCTGTGCTGGGTGTTGATGCGCAGGACGCCGGTGACCCTCGGAAGAGGACGGGGCACATCCAGCTGGTCACCGGACCACGAAACATGGCAGTTGCAGAAATATTTCAAATAGTTGTAAATGCCAGTAGCCACGGCCACTCCGTTGCTGCCTGTAGCGTATATCTTATTGTTCCTGGTGGACCTGAGCTCACACACATCCAGGCTGTCGTTGGAAAGGCTCCGGTTGACTGACACTATGAACTCCGTGGACCTGTTCCCCAGCAGCCGCTTCAGCAGCTCCACCACCGCTCTGCCCTGGCTTTTGTCGCTGGCTTTCGGTTTTAAGTGGTCTAGAGTTGGGAACTTACAAAAGGCAGTTACAAAAAGACAAAACAGGACAACCAGCGTGAGAATGTATCCGCTTCTGTGTGACATTTTGAACCCCTGACCAATGAATCCAGTTTCCCACCGAAGCACAGGTTTAAAAACAACTTTATTTTAACCAGGAAGCTTTGGGTGACTGAAATGCTGCGGGCCAATCAAAGAGAGAGCTGTTGCCGTGTATAATTTACAGCCAATCGGAGGATGCAGTTCGCATTACAAACCACTGTTTGTCATGTGATCATTCTGTCATATGATGGGAATATTACAAAAGTGGCCTAATTTCAGGAGCAAGCTTGATGTAATATATGATCATGTCATAAAAGCACAATGTAAAACCTTGTTAAAAAAAAATCATTGACTGCTTACTTCCGAAACAGTTAAAACAAGTTTGAAATAAATCAAGGACAAATGGTTCTCATGTTTGCTTGTAAAGGGTTACTAGCATTTAGTAGTCTACTTTGGTACAAATTAGAATCAGGCACTTCTGATTACTGCTGACATAGCCATCAGTCAAGACATGTCATGATGTCTTAATCAATAGTGCACATGCATACACTTTCTGCACAATAAGCACAGTGATGCCTCTAAACAGCAGAAGATTACAGAATGAAAACAGCAAACTCTGTGCAATGGCTACTGATCAAACAACCAAATCAAAATCTTTATGAGGTCAAACACCTGTATTTATTTACATGGCGATGTTAATGGTTAACCTATTATGGAAAGCAATAACCTACCTCCAATACTGAAGTACAGTTTTAATGTATTTCTCGTTTTTTTTAAGTTACTAGCTCCAAGCTTCACATCATAATTCAGAATACTTGCCAAGTGGCTAAATGTGTTATTTAGCAAAAAAAAGTAGACTCATCAATACAGTACCTGGTTCAACAAACCACAGTGGGATATAATTCATTATAAAAAAAAACGTTTATTTTCAAATCCCCAAACCCTACATTTAACTTCCAGCAGAAAGTGGCACAATAAGGATGTAAATACAAAGTACCCAAACAGGCCACTGGCTGCACATAAGCAAGCAAAGATACCAGGCTAGAAAAGTAAATTACACTGAGGACAAACATAAATTAAATTGATTTAAAGACAAGCAGGAGAAGAACTGATGAGCACAAACACATGAAATAACTGCTGGTGTAAACATCACAGTGCTTGTTCGCTTTTGTCGAGTTCAAACACCATCAAAGTTTGTGTTTTATTTACCTATCAAGCAAAAAGCATAAGACGCAGAAAGGTATACACTCAAGTCATCAGGTTTTATTTGGTTGATTTGGACTAAACTTCTAAACTTATTTCACAGTGAGTTTTCTTGAGGTTTATGGTGTTTACTTCCATTCTGGGTGAGTTTTGTTCCTCAAGGTGATTAGACATGCCTTAGTTAAGGCTGTTAGTAGTGCAGAGTAAAGACAATGGCTTTAAAATGTCCTGTATGGACCGTGCTGTCCCTTCACAATCCACAAGGCACAGACAGATCTACAGAGCCTCTGTACGTCAAAACTAAAAGACTACTGAAGTGAGAATTTAGAAAAAGCTTATTATGCAGAGCATGAATTCTTCCACCATGAGGGCGCAGACCTGCTCAATGATTGGACTCTGGCACTTTCAGAAGCTGTGAGGATAAATGATCGACAAACACTTCTGACTGAAATAACTATTACACAGTATGAGGTATGAGCATTCTCCCAAAGGAATCCACTGACAGATGACAAAGCTGTAAGACAGCACACACCTCAAAGTAACATTTCACAACATATATTCATACACGGAATATGTTTAAGATTCTCTATGTCATAAACATTCACTGAAACTGTCACATTGAGACTTTTCAAATCAATATAACATGTTGTAGTTTGTCATTTTTGTTTGAGCCAGTTTAATGTATCCACTAACTGATTCCAATATTGTATTAATGCATGTATTGTTGAACATTTACAGTTTTTTTAGTCAAGTTTAGGCTCAGGTTAAATGACAAGCTTACTTTGGGTTAACACAAACGTTAAGCTGATTGCATTAGAGGAGCAAAACAACACAAAGGTCACTTCAATTTAATCTGTTACACCATGATTGATAATAAATGATGTACAGTGAGAGGGCAGTCCTGTAAACAGTGCTCCTGGCTTCCAAAACAAGATGCATTTCATATGAACATGGCTCTGACCAACTATTCAAGAGGGACATCCACGGTTTCTAGGGCAGAAAACTGAGCTATATGAAAGAGATCATTAAGTAGAAAATATATTGGTGCCAAAATCCAAGAGCACTGACTGTAACATCGAAACTGTCCACATGTAAAGATAATCCATTTTATGCTCATTAATGTAAATGTTGACTAAAAAACAACCAGAAGATGCAACTAACAATCATAATAGGTGGGGAAATAATTATCCAAGAACAATCACAACAGTTCAATATCCTGCATTCTGTGGTAGCTTCAGGTGCTAAAACAAATGAGACCCAGCATGATAGGCCATTATACAAATCCTATTTGATTGTTTAACACTAATATCCCATGACCTGCACTTTATCACATATCAATGATACATTATATAAACTCAGTTTTCTGAAAAAATACTCTGCTATGATTGGCTAATTATTTATGTGCAGCACAAATGTGAGGGCAGGTGTAATACTGTAGCATTATATTTTTCTGACGCATTATTAATCTACATAGGGTTTAAAAAACACATGACGTTACTTTAACACTACCATACATCCAGCCATTTTAAGTAAGAGGTGGTAATGTTGCAATGAATGCAACTTGACTGAGAACCGCTCCAAATATTTTCCCCAACTAGTAAACATCTGTTTTGTGAGGACAGTATTCCGTTTTCTGTGGCTCTACAGGAGCTTGGTCAAGTCAGAGAAAATAACCCAAGTGACTTTATGTTGATTTTAGAGATCACATTTATAAATGACTGGAGGTGTGGGGTTGTGAAAAGATGGGGAGGGAGAGGCCACAGTTGCATTTCACCACTTTAAAAACAATTATCCATCTCTGCCAACTTCATTAAAGGAAAATAATAAAAACATAAAAACTATTAATCAGTACTTTGGGTAAACAAATGGCAGTTAAGAGTTTAGAAAGACTCTAACTGGTGATTGTTGGGAATTCCTTTCCATATCTCCAGATTTAAAATGTAAATGTTGTATAAACATTCACCAAGGCAACGAGCATTAACTCGACTATAACAGATTCAGGCACAGTAAAATGTAGCTAATTGCACGTTGGTAAATTGAATTCTAATTTGGTAAACCCCAACTATATGCTCATGGATATTGTCTTTATATAAAAAATTGTAATCAATAAATATCCCTCTAAATTATCGTGTTATATCACCCATTGTATTTAAAACTCCATCTGACAAAAGTAAAAAAATATGACTTATGAGTTAAGTCTTTAAATCAACAAGCACTTATTGACTTTATAAGAAATTATGGCATCTATGACTAATACAACATTTTTGCTTTAAGGTATAGTACAGGAAATTCATAAAATGGCTATAATATAAAATATTATACAAAAAGCACCAAAAGATAGTTTGAAACCAGACTATGCAACCTGAGACCTCATTAATCAAATCTTTCTCCAAAGGAACTCATAAGTAATGAACTCCCCCTTGTTTAGTTCAAAACGTGTGTGACCGGTAGCTAATGTACGCTAATGTACGCTAATGTTAGCTTAGATAAATATTGCTGTGTAGCTCACAATACCAAATGTGTTGGCTGATCCCTCTACACCTGTACTATTGTAACACCATGTTTTAGCATGTTACAAAGACATATTGGTGGTTTTACTACCAAAGTAAATGTCAGATTTAAACTCATCAACTCCCTGCGGCTGCTGCTGTGTCACTTAGCATCTGCCTAGCTTAGCTGTGGTTTACAACAGGTTCAGCCAAATTGCTGTGAAAAATGGTGGGGATGGTTTTAGATGCGATTTTACAGATGAACTGTTAATTTATTCCTCCTACTGCTGAGAACACTTTTCAGAACTGAAACAGTATACAGTTGATTGTCACAAAACGATGCATCAGTGTGCACTGTTAATATAAGTTGTTTTTCACATTCAGCGAAACTCGTCGATATCAAAATGTGTGTATATTTGAAACCTAACTTTTTGTTCAATCTATTTCCTTATAAAATATGTATTTTAACATATTGACACTTGGATTGTTTTATAATCATGTTTACTTGCTAACATGCTAGCACTAATGCTTGTTGTTTCTTGCCTTTGCTGGCACATAAGTGCTTTTTCTGGTTCAGTTGAATAGCGTGCAACATTGACAGATTCAGCATGGTGTCTTTGCGTTACTGGCACGCTCATGCTATGCAAGACAACCAACAAAACGGGGACCCAGTTATTGAATCATTAGTGCTAGGTGGTCAAGAAGGTAATCTTCATGTGCGCTGCAGGTTTGAATTCATCCTAAGGATCAGTGAGCTCCAGAGGCGATGGGTCAAGCTATTGGCAGAAACAGCTTTGTCTGCAATTTTCCTAGTGGTAAAATAAGGAATTACACCTTCCGGATCTGTGATTTGATGCACTTCAGTCTTAAAATAGTTTTCACTGTAGACTTACATAGGGAAAGATAACTCTGTAAATCAGGGGATCATTCTTTTCTGAAGGGAAATAAACTTCCCACTCAAAAATGTATACAGCCCTTATTTCAAAATATGTCCTATTAGTCGTAAAAAGGGCCCCATGGATGCGGAAGATTCAATTGATTTTGCATTCATACCAATTTGGCTGTATGCGCCACTGATCAACTTTCGTATTAATAACAGGGGCCCTGCCTCTAACTCTGCAGCCAGTCTCTTTATACATCAGCATCTGGGTTTAAACTTAAACCACCTTATTTAGTTTCTGAAAACACATGTGTCTTAAAAAAATTCTCAATGTCCAAGCCACAACTAAGCCAATGACGTAGCAACCTAACTAGGAAACACATTGGTTGTTTCCTGCTTGTTGTTCTATTCATCTCACTCTCAGTCTGCTCCCTTTATGAGCCCCTCTTTAAAATAACAGACTTAAAATAATCTTGGAAAACGTACATTTGCCATCATCCTGTAAATACTTTTGGTCACAGAGGCTGAGATCCAGCAAAAGTGACGTATTTGATTTATTCTGGATTGACTGAATACTGATAAGAATTAGCGACAAATAATCTCAGTAATGGAGAAGATGTAGAATGTTTCAGCATTTTGTCACCAATGTTAAATGTGTAGATGAAACAAACCTTCAGAATGAAAAAAAAGCTGGTATGACTGCTGTACATTTCTAAGCAGACTTCTCCTTTTGCCAGCTAAAAGCTAAACAGGCACATATGAATGCAAAGCTTACGTAAAAACTGACTGTATTTCGTGTTGAATAAATCCAGACCGGAAAAACACATCAACCCTGAGAAACTACGGTAAGTGGGAGAGGACATTAAGACCATCAAATGTCTGTAACATTGATTTCTGATAGTAGGTTTTCTTTCTCAACAGAGACACTTAAGCAAGTGGACGGATATATGACCAGACCTTCTTCTCACACTAAACCCCTGTGGGGAGCTGAAACTGAAATACATTGTGATGTGGATCTGCCAGAGCAGCCGATGAACACAGGAGACGTTTCTCTGTGGCTGCAGTTGCGGGTGTTTCTGTAAGATAAGATGGAGAAGACCTGAAGGTGTGCGCAGGTTCAGGACTGCTGACTGCTCCACTGGTTGGCCATTGGCCTGCGGAGCAGCTCCTCCACATGGCGCGCCACGTCCATCGTGTCCTCCAGGTCGAAGTCTCCCTCTGCATCCAACATGGTGTCACTCCTGACAGGACGACAGTAGAGACGCAGGCCACATTGTCATGAAGGAGGTTCATTGGACAATAATTGGGTTTTTTTCTGTTGGATTTTCTACAGTGTAATTGTGAATTATCAGGTAGAACATATCGTAAGTAATTAATCAAAGAAACACTTAAAATGAAACCCAGACAACGCAACAGAGTCAAATATATCTCTGTATCTTTAGAAAACTAGTTAAGAAGGGGATTTTATATGCATGTATATGTATATATAAATAAACATACATATATATATACACATACCCACATGTCTGTATGTAAGCTGCCATGAAACACACACATCATATTGTCATCTATTAAGATTACGAACCTGTTAACAAACAATGCTAATGCTAATATACACGTCCAGCAGTTAGAGCATCAAAAGCATGCATTACTCAAATCCATCAGTTGAAAAAACACAAAGACTCCAGCATTGTCTCTCTTTTCGCTCAGTGTTGGTCTCCACCATCTCCTGAGGAAAATATCTGGCTCATAAGCTGCTAAATGCGTCACTATTTTCAACAGCGTTTTCCTTACTTTGTCTGTCTGCTGTTTCCTGGCATTTTCTCTGAAAACAGCTACCAGCTGCTGCCGAACAGACAGCATTAAGTAACCCCAAAAGAAATTAAAGCCAGACAGCTGAACAATAAGCTGAAACTCACTAAAGCTCAGAAAAGCTGAGGGAATCTGCGGTCATGTATTGTTTATTGATTAAAGTCACTTTTAGTAGAGGCTGCAATACCATTGCAAAACAAAATAAAGTGCCAACAAGTACAAGCACTGGGAATTTGACTCCAGTAAGAATATGTACACTTTATCATCAAGGTGTACTTCAAGTATGAAAGCTAAATGTACTCCCTTTCATTTTACAGGGTGATGTCCCAAGAATGAAATGTAAAGGAGTGTGCTTACATCGAAGGGTAGACTCCAAAGCTGCTGGGGTGGCTGACTGGCGGGGAAGCTGTTTGGTCCATGAACGAAGGAGTTCCTCCACTGGGTTCAGATTTTGGGGTGGTGAATCTAACAGAGACATATAACAAGCATTATTTCATCAACTAATCTGACCATGATCACGTGTCTGCACCAAGCCCAATAACTAAACACATATTTTAGTAACTAATACTGTAATAATAATAAAAAACTAATTTCTGAATGGCTAGCAAGTGTCGGTCAAGCCTGTATTAGGATGCTTTAAATACAACTTCATACTATAATGGCAGACGTATGTGTTTGTGTGTGTGTCCCAGTTTTGATTATCTTGCCAACATTTGTAAGGATTTACTTTACGCTCTGTGTGTGCGTGCGTGCGTGCGTGCGTGCTGTCGAAGACCTGAGGAAGTTCAGTGGTGCTTTGACCTGGGGCAGATACATTTGATGAAGCTTTTGTACTTATGAGAGTTACCACCATAAACCTATGCATAGACTCACTTAGAAACCCAAGAAGGAGCGGCAAAGCTACAGGAAAGATATTTGAAAGATTTCCATTTTTATGTTGATAGAGGAGGGCAGCATCGTGTTTAGGGATTCAAATACCATGTCTACATTAAACTTAAGTAACTTGCTTCTTATTCATTTGTGTCCATTTGAAGTGATTTGTGTTTGCCGTGGCAGTTTAACAAAAGAGAGAAAACACAACTTACTCTGGCACAACTTGTTTGATCTGTGGTTTTACGTATCCATCCACTGCTTTTGCTGCAAGAAAGACATATCGCCTTACATTGTTTAGTCATTTCAACTTTATAATGCCATCCACTTACACCTCATAACCGAGTTATATAAAAATAAAGAGTTCTTCACTTTACTGTTGATGTGAATAGAAAAGATGCTGGAACTTACAGAGGGGAGGGGTGTAGTACTTGGCGAAGACCTCGTCTTTGGGCCGGTCCGGGTACAGGAACAGAAGATGGTTGAGGTCACTGATGCGGTCCGCCAGGGAACGGATGGAAAAGTCCTTTGTTGTATAAGGCAACAGATTCCAGACCAGCCTCTCACCTAGCCGAAGATCGATAAAAGCAGGAGTTCATTCACTGTATTCATCAAGATGTAAAATAATATATTTGCGGGGATTATGGTGCACGACCTGTGTAATGCACAAATGAAAATACACCAACAAGTGGAATTAGAGATGTTACTGAGAGGGAAAAATTCATCTTGCATGCATTTCATTCAGTTAAATGTTGTGTTAATGAATGATTCATTGAGATTCACACTTATTGTAAGAGGCATGACAGCAGGGCGGTTTGGTACCTTGCTTGTTGGGGTTCTCAGCCACCCAGGCGATGGTGATGCCTCCAATCTCTGAGTCACTGAATCGCAGCAGGAACGTGCCGTTGGGTTTGGAGAGCAGCATGTCCTGGGCCTGCTGCTTGTTAACAAAGCCCAGGATGGCCCTATAAACACACAAACACACTCAGAAAAGAAAGCAAACCCATTGCTGTTCTTTAACCTGAAGAACATCAACTCGAATCGTTCAAACTATTGCTTTTTTCATTAACGATTTATTTTATATCATTTAAAGAGGTACTGCAAAAATGGTCTTAGCATCGCGACCTTAATAACCAAATGACAATTGAACCGATTGGTTGAGCATGCTTTTGAGACGGTAATAAAAAACATACTCATTCATTGTTTTCACAATACAGATAAAGGAATAATATTAGATGTATCATATCTACAACAATGAATGAGCGTTCTTGTCTTTTAGACGCAAATAGTTGATTTTAATTAAAATTGAGTGCTAAACATTTTTTTTTAAAACTATAAAAATTACAAACACGCTGTTAGATAGAGCATGTTTTTAGAAAAGCACTATTATTTAAAGAAACAGTGATACCTAGTGGACTTTTGGAGCATAATATACCTAAACCAAGAACAAGATGGCTCATTTCATTTGACTGAATTTTAACATATTTTAAGCTATAGTATGAAAATAAGATAGTGACTCAAAATGTGTTCTCCAAAACCTAACCAATCATTAAAGGGTTAAAGCTAGGGGGGGGGGGGGGGGGGGGGGGGGGGGGGGGGGAAGTTAAAAAGCCTCTTTAAAGTCTGCCCTAAAAAAAAAATAAAAACAGCCTTTTCTTTTGGAGGACCACCAGAAGTATCCTGGAGCTGTACTATGACAATATCTTTGCTCCTCACACGTTTTTCCAGTACTACTTTTTCAACTTACTTTGATCTTAAGTTGCTCTTTTAGCTACCGACATAAAACCGTCTCTTGTAAAAAATGAGCCATTACCCATCATTCCAGTGAGGCTTGAGATGTTTCTTCATGAGCTCCACAACTCCATCAAACCACTGCCAGAAGGTGAAGTTGCGTCCGGGTAAGCTCTCCTAAACAAACCAAACACACCATCAGTACGTTTACAGGCACACAAAGCTAAACCAGGTTTTTGTTGTGTGCTTTCATTGGTCATTTTAACAGCAGCAGATGCTTCTGCTTCTTTTTTATTTATATACCGTGTTGTTATCAATACATACACAGGTTGCCACATCAGACTATCAGTAGGTAGATCATGGAGAAATACGCTGGAAGATGCTCACCCTGTTGAACTGGGCCCAGGATATGCTCACGTTGCGGAAGTCCTCAGGGTTGTTGCTGCTGCTTGTAAAAGCTTTCTGCGCCAGGAAGACCATGTTATCTTCCGACAGGCCCCGCCCACTGTGCATCTCTGCCTTGTACTTCATATCTAGGGCCTCACACAGCTGGGGCCACATCACCTTGTCTGGCACGATGAACGGCACCCTGCCCTGAGGTGGAAACATGGAGGTTAAACAATCAGGGTAGAGGACGAGTATGTAGATACATTCATTGTTAGTTTTGCTCTGTATGTTTGGGTCTGTTCAAAATATAATAAAACTTCTGATTAGTTGATGAGACAGCATTAACTTACTGGCTCAGCGAAGGCGTTGTCCCACAGGACGGTGGCTGTGGCGTTGTTGTCCTGACTCCCATGGACAATCACAACCACAGGCAGTGATAAGGTCTGCCACACACACACACACACACACACACACACACACACACACACACACACACACACACACACACACACACACACACACACACACACACACACACACACACACACACACACACACACACACACACACACACACACACACACACACACACCACACACACACACACACACACACACACACACACACACACACACACACACACACACACACACACACACACACACACACACACACACACACACACACACACACACACACCACACACACACACACACACACACACACACACACACACCACACACACACACACACACACACACACACACACACACACACACACACACACACACACACACACACACACACACACACACACACACACACACACACACACACACACAAGCTGATGTTTATCTGATTTGCAGGGCGATGTGACTTAGTACTGGTCACTGTCTAACTATGGAAAATGGCATTGTTCATATTTGGGTGTTTAGGCTCAATGCAGCCTCTGCTCTCAATGCAGGGTTAGGGTTAGAAACATCTTTCATCTGCTCCTTTTGTTGACACGAAAAGTGGGCTCAGTCTCTGTTCATCACTATTCCCCATGCCCTTATACATGCATGAACTAAAAGCCTGTTCTGTGTATTAGATATTTAACAATTCAATTGAAGTGAAGGCAATATCATGCTATTAAATATGTATTATTATTAAAAGAAAAGACAGGTAATAATATATTATGACAGAAATGAGTTGGCTGTAGTGCTATAATAAAAATGTTTTGTCTCACTGGCAATAAAGGGGAATAAATAACAACCAAAACAAATAAAGAGAAAAAACAAACGTGTTGGCATCGGCTTAGACATGTGCAATTGGTGAATCCCTACTATAACTATTAATCAATGTGAAATGTTTCATTTTAAATACAGGGCTTAGAGAATAGTCTAAAATAGACAGAGGCAGTGAAGAAGGCAGATCATTTAATTACTTAGCAAGATACCGAGTGCTGTTCACAAGTAAATAAAGGGTAAAATATCCAATTACTTTGACATGGAAGACCAGCTCGTTGCCTCCGACGCTGAACTGCGATTCGAACAGAACCGTGAACTTCTCCTCCGTCACCGACTCTGCACCGCGGCGGTCTGAACGCTTGATCCTCTTCAGGGACTGTACCAAGACAAGAGAGGAGATTTCACACATACACCTTCATAACAACAAACACAGCCCATATAGTGCACTCTAAGCAGCATCATCTCCATTCTCTGGCGAGGAACTGTGCATCAGGCCAGTTTTTGAACAACTAGTATTTGTCTTGCAAATATACCCTGACATGTAAGCAATATAATTCTATTTTCTGAAATTTTCAAATCTGAAATAGTTTTTTAGGTCGTTGTCAAAAAGGCAGCACAATCAATCGAAATCGCAATACGGACTACTATCCCTATACTATAGCTGTCAACTGAAAGGGATTACAAACCAAAATATATGAAGGTATTGTTGCATGCAATTTCAACAATTACATAAATACAAAATGTTATATAATGTTATTCATACACTTAGCTAGCAGAGCATACCATATTTCTGAAGTGTGCACTGAGGGTGCCGGTGGCCTGGTGATACTCCATCACACAGTTGTTGTTGAGGATTTCTCCACTGCTTTCACTGCCAAGGCAAATAAAGCTGTTAGAAAGGATTGAACAAAGCTCATCTGTAGCAGGAAAAACCTTCAACAAATGGCGATGTCAACTTAGTATATATATTTTGTGACTGCCTAAGGAGTGGTGCAGGAATAAGTCCAACAGCACAGAAATGAGTTAGCAGTGTATCAGTTCTGGTTCCCTCGTCCCAAAGTCAACTGTTTTTTTAACCTGTTATTGGTTAGATGCTTCAAATAGGATCTATGGTTAACACAAGCTGAAGAGATGATCACATTTTGTTCTACCCCACTGGTGAATGTCCAAAGATTCTATGTATCAAGTGACTAAATGAGTCTACTAAACTTTATCACTACGAACATTAGCCACCTTTAGATTAGCGGAGGTAATGTGCAGCCATGTGACCTTTATGTAGTTGTTTATATCCTCACGTTGGACTTTTACGTCTGCCGATTGCCTTTTCACTTTAACAATATACAAAGTGTTGTAAATAATAAAGTGTGTAAGTATCATAAAAGTGTGTTTACCACAGATCTTATTTTCTGCAATATTTCAAAATCCAATGGAACCCTAATGTTTTTGTCGAAAGGAGCCGTTGCGTTGCTAATGTTTGGGTCGGCCTACAGAGAATAACAACAAATCATTTCAGCTCAACATTATCCATGTGTTTTACTGGTACCTTCATCATCATGGCCCTATGGCCCTCACCTGTGTGTGCTCTCATTCTTCAGCAGAGCTTTGGCCTGCTGCTCGCTGACGATGACTGCTTTGACCTGAGGGGGGTTCATGTGGACGTTGAGCTTCCCCCCCACCAGGAGGCGCACTGTGGCTGCAAACTTGGTCTGGGTCTTTAACACTTGGGGGGGCTGCTTCTCTATGATGAAGGTGCTGAAGAGAAGAGATGACAACAACATGATGGGCTGCTTGACATTTTCTCACAGAAGAGGAATTCAAAGGCAGTGATCTTGTTATTGATAAAGTTTGAGAGAAAGTTTTGAGAGAAAGAGACATCTCTTCCTTTCCAGCAAAGTAATCATTAATTCGCAAGTCGCTTTTCTTATTTGTTACTTTATGGGGATAAGAAATGGGAAGTGTGGTACAGTTATGTTCTTAGTTTGTTCATGATAACAAAAAATACATTGTTTTCCTTGTAAAGAAAACTACGTGAATTTTGCTTTTGTTGAAAATGTATTTAAACACAATGATATTTTCAAAATGTATATGTGTATAGGTGCATGTTGTAATTGTCATTATTTGCACAATAATTTGGAAATATTGTATGAGAGAGAAAGAGAAAAAACATGAATTCAAAAGTGAAACTAAATGCATGAATTGTGCGTTGTAATTCTGTGGCTAAGCAGCAGTATAAATATAGAACAGACTGAGTCTCTGATAAAAGGTGATAGCCAGACATTAACAAACTGGTTATAACTGACCTTGTGTGTATCTTGTATGAGAGGGGTAAACACAATAAGTGTACCAAAAAAAACAGACGCATACAGTATGAATAACATCTGCTGCTAATCATACAGCAGCAGCTCTCTGTCCTTAAGTATTAATGAGTTCTTCTTAACATCATTCCTTAATGTTTTTCACTGAGGTTAAGTGAAGCTGGTTCTCACCTGGTAACCAGGGCGGAGATGATGTCTGTGATGTCAGAGTTGAGTTTGCTCAGCAGCTCCTCCATGGGGCCCGGCAGGGGGAGCTGCTGAGTGAGATGTTCACAGCGCCGGATCTGCTGCCGGTTCTGCCAGATCAGGTCAGCCAGCTTCTCACACCTGGGGCAGAGGGAGGGAGGGAGGGAGGGAGGGGCAGAGCACAGGGGGAGCGGAGAACATTAGGCTGGGTTGTTCTATGCAAGTACATTTAAAACTGCAATATTTTACAATTGTTATTAAAGTATGTTACTTTTTCGCACTACTTAATACTGTAACAACAGTGTTGTAAAATAACACCTTACAATATTTACTTTTTAATATGTATTACTGGCTGCCACTGCATTACGTTAATTTGCTCACTTACTTTTAGAATGCAGCTATTATTTGATTCGTCCTTTATTAAAGTGTGCTTGATGTGATAGTCTATTTTATTTTTGTCTTTATCTGCCCTGTACTATTTGCTTATAAGAATGTACATTTCCTAGCTGTGGGACAAATAAAAAGGATTTCTGATTCTGATTTATGCCTTTATAAGATTTATAATGTATCAAACTCAACAACTTGAATGAAATACTCAAATTCTCCTCTACATCAGAAATAAAAATGCAATGGTTAAAACCATTCCATAAACTCTGCATTCTATAATATAAAATACAAGTAAGAATAGTTGATACCAGGACTGGAGGACGTCCAGCCCCCCCTCATGAGGACCCCCGTTGCCGGACAGCTGCTGCCTCCTCTTCCACTGGATCAGCTCCTCATCCAGGATCAGGGTCTGCTGCTTCCTCAGCAGGGCCAGCGTCTTCTGGTGCTGCTCGGACAGGTCCTGCACACATGGGACACTCAGCATGTTAACACACACAATAGAAACACACAGAGAAATAGGATGAGCAGAATCTTAGACAGCATCATTATGCAACTTAATTGCTGTAAAATCCATGTAGCATGCGTTTACTGTTCCGCTGTTTACAACTGATTTAGAGTTAAAAGGGGATATCTCCTACGACTGCAGTTCACTCTTGTGAGGAACTCGTGTTGCACAAGTCTGGAAAGTAATGAAGCACAAATGAAAGTGTTTTTAAAAAAAAAATAGAGTATAGGTTCAAAACTAGTTAAATACCATGGGTGCGCTCATCCAGAAAGAGGAAGGCTGTATGTGAGGAATGGTTTGCCAAAATAAACAGCTCAACTAAGAGACCAGTGGTGTTAAGAAATATCAACATTGGTATAGCCTTTAAACCTCTTTGAGTAGATTATTAGAGTTTTTCAAGAAAAAAAGGCCTCAATCCTATTACAATTGACTGGAGCTGCTGTAAGCCATTCAAAACATCAGGGAAGTTTAGTTAGTGTTGCTGTGATGCACCAAATAGCTACTGTGAGGTAACCTAATGTCTCACCATCTGTCTGTTAATAAAACAATGTGCAGCAGATTTTAGACCTGCTTTTATCGGATGTGAAATGACTGATGAAAATCTTCTGCTGCAGTGATGACTAAAATACATATAATGATAATGATAATGATAGAAACCAAGAAATTCAGAAGAATCAGAAATCAGATTACTGAAGAAAGCCACAAACATAACCCATGCACAAGAGCACATACACACAGTATGGCCAGACACCATTCTCTTCCTCACTGTGGATGTTCAGAAAGAACCATTTTGAAACTGGCTTTCCAATTTACATTCCATTAAGTAAGTTACATAAATGAAAAATAGTCATTTGATTTATGAAATAAATTGAATATACCTGCAAGAAGGTGAGAATGACAGAGAACCAGGATGAAAAAGCTATTACTGATTGGGTTAATATGCTTTTTTTTGTTCTTAGGTGGGCTGAAATGAATGATCCTGATGTAGCCCAAACTAACAATATCTGCTCAATCACGAGTGCTCAAATCTGTCCTTGTTCAGGTCCTCTTGGAAAAAATATAATCTATAACACATTATTTTCCCATGCACCCATTTGTTTTTCACCAGAGAGATCAACTTGAAGTATATCTGATTCTGAACATGATGAATGAGCATATTTATTATCACAAAACTACAATGTGATAATATTATGTGCAGAAGGACATTTGATCATGTCCTAATAAGTCATGAGGGTAAAATATTGGATTCAAAAAGTTGTTGGAATAATCATGAGACCGAAAAGAATAAATGGAGTAGAAACGTTCCTTGCTAGCCTGTGTTAATGTAGTGTGTGTGAGTGTTGTCTCCATACAAGCCTGTATTTCTGCAGTGTGCTGGCCTCTCTGGTGAGCCAGGTCTCCACAGTGGTCCTCTTGCTCTGCAGGGCGGTCTCTCTCTGGGTGCGCTCAGCTGGAGGCAGCGTGGACAGGCTGCTCAGCTGGGCTAACAGGACGAGTAGCAGGAAACATTACAAACAACACATACCACAAAACACTGTTCACTTCTGGGAAAGAAAGTGAATCTGCTATCTTTTCATCAGGACCGGGCTGCAGTGCGTTTTCAAACTAACAGATTAGTCAAATGGGCTGGTGATGTTGAACATGATGAACATCTTTTCTCGATAATCTGTGTTAAAATATGGAATGGAACTTTCCACGAATGAATGAATTAACAAAAAATTATATTTCACATTATTGTGATCTGTATATGTACGTGTGAGACATTTTATTCGTATTTTTTATTTTTGGTATCATGTTGTTCTTTTGACACTTGTCTGTGACTTTGTTGTACTCCTACCTTGAGACTTCAAATCAGATTTGATTGTTTTTGTACGTTTTGAAGCTTGTTAATAATGAATCTCAGGAGGCCTTTATTAATATCAGGGAGCCTTTTATGCTAATTGTATTCAACAATTAGAATGAATTAGTATGAATCATTGAACAGCGAGGAAAAGTCATCTTCATCTTAATTGTATTTACATGTTTTTGTTTCTATACATTTATAACTATTTTTAGCTAATACTTTAATGTTTATGTATTCTTGTTTTTATTATCATAACCATTATGTCTATGTAGTTATGTCTTATCAGTCAATGTCTTTTGTATTTCATTATATATTTTAGTGTTGTCATATACGTTTAGTGTTGTTGTTTTTGTAAGTGTTTCAATGTGGAAAATCCAATAAGACAATAGTAAATAAGAAACGTAAATAACTTTGTATTGAACTTATTCCAAAACATATAGTTATAGTTGTTATAGTTCTATTTGATCCTAACACGTCTCTGTGTGTGTGTGTCCCTCAGCCTCACCCTGGATGCGCATGTTCTCCTGGTACTGGATGATGAAGTACTCCTGGCTGTGCTGCAGCTTCCTCAGCTCGTTCTCCGTCTCCTGTGTGGCCAGGCGCAGCTCCTCGAAGGACTGGTTGATCTGCTGATGGCGCTGCGACAGGCTGTCCATGGCCTGCCCCCCACCCCCAGAGCTGGCCTATCCACACAACATTTAAAAAGTGCAGATGTTTTTTGTTTGCTTCTACCAATATCATGACTCTATTACTACTACTAGTACATGTCATTTATTGTTCATAGATATCCTTTCCCAGATGTCAATCTTAACCCAGCCACAATTTGGGGAAGGTACCGTGAGTTTACAGGAGTTCTGCAATGACAACACACATTCACTTCTCCTTTAACACTTACATTTGTGGCTTCTTGAACCAGCCTCTGCTCTGAGTGTAGGATGTGTTTGATGCAGCGCACAAGCTCCAGAGGACAGCGGTCATAAGTGCTCTGCAAAACACACACACACATGACACCGCAGATGATTAAGATTAGTTAGATCAAATACCATACCATCAATTTAGAGCCAGTGCACTTTCTGTCGTGCTCACTTCTATGGCTCAGCTCTTTCAATTCAAATTGTTTTGCTGATATGTGAGTGCTCTGAATTATTTCTTGATAACCTTTAATGCAATACAGTTTTAAAGAACATTTTTAATATCGGTAATTCCTTATTACCTATAGCAGAGGTTCCAAAAACGTTATAGACTCATACAGGCTAATAAATACCATGAAATTGGCCTAACCTGTCATGCATTTCTCTTAACCACTCTCTGTCATACCCCCAACAATATACTGATTTTGAACTAATGTAGGTCACCAGTTTGCAAATAACAAGCCAGCCAGGTCATCACTTTCATTATTCAGCATCACATGGTATCTTTGTAAGGACAGATGACCTAACCTAACCTGACATCTAACACTGACCTGTCACGGAGAGGTCTGCCTTTTTGTCTCTGATCTCACCACAATGAAACACAAACTAAACAATGTAGACATATATTATGTACTTACAATTGCAATCATGGCTAATACTAGTACAATGTAGGACAATTCAAACTTGCCCAATTAAAACAATATATCCTGAAGAGCTCTCTCCTTGTTATTCTCTCTTACAGTAGATGGGTGAGATGGCCAAGGTGACTTATTTTGTTTCCAGTTTGTAACCTTTACTTACTCTAACCTGTTTACATACGGCTTACAGCCAATGGCACCAACTTCTGACAAAACTACAATGTCCCCTTGTTTAGAAACCAGGCTACAGTTTGGTTTGACAGACCAAGTAACCCTAACCGTAACCCTAACCCAAACCAGTTGATGGTATAGCACTTCAGCTTTTATGTTAATAGCACCAGCGTGTTTCACCTGACCTAGTGAGGGGTAAAACAATGTTTCAGGGCAGGCTTGTACCTTGAGCTGGTTGGCGTAGTGGCCCAGCTTGATCTTGAGCAGGAAGCCGTCCTCTCCTCCCTGCAGCTGGGCTTTCCTCTGCAGCTCAGACACCAGGTTGTCCAGCAGATGCTTCGCTTTGGCTTCCTCCACTGGGTTGTCCAATTCCACTGAATCCCTGTGAGATCACATTTTTATTTTTTTCCAAATGTACTTTATATTTAAATGACAAGCCAATTACATATGTGCTGAACATTAATGGTCAATGTAAAAACCTCATGAATACTGCTACAGTATACAAAAACATATTCTTGTGGAAAAAGACAGTAGTGAAGCTGCCTTTGGTGGTTCCCAAATGTAGCTATTAGCACATTAGATTGTTATTATTCAAATTGCATTTTAAGGGCAATCGTTAAAAGGTATTTTTTCTATCATGCCAGATTATATATTATATTGTGATTGTATTACACTTGCACAGTTACCTGTTACCATCATTTATATTTTACTTTTTAGTTATTTTGTATTTTACTTTATTTTGAGATATTTCTATTTATTTTATACCCTTTTTTATTTTCAAATGATGTGCAAGGCCTTGTTTTAACATGCTGCTGTAACGAAAACATTTCCCAATTTGGGATCAATAAAGTACATCTTATCTTATTCTCTTGCACGATTTAGTTTCTATTTCTGCTTGCACTATAACAATTCTTTGATTGTATGTTGCATTGTTGGAGGAGCCTGAGACTACAGATTCTCCATGCCAAAACTATGCTGCAGCTATTCTGCGTACAAAAAAGCCATTGAATCTTAAATCATAATATATTTTGGATGTAATGTTTCTTTCAAATCCAGCAACATGTAGCTCCAATCTGAAGAAAGAACAATATTGTTTATATGAAATCTGAATAAAAGCAAAGATCAAAGTCTATTACATACCAGAGCTGGCATTCTATCCACTGGGCCAGGTAGTGTCGCACCTCGATGGGAAAGTGCTGGCCGTACAGCGCCTGCATCTGATGCAGCGCCTCCCCCTGCAGCTGCTGGGCCTGGATCCACATCGCCATGGTGCTCCTGTGGAAGCAGGAGGAGAGCAGGAGTAGAGGCCAGGGAGAGGAGGAGGGAGACGGGAGGAACAGCAAGCAAGAGGGGGAACAAAGACGATGGTGAGAGGGAGAGGAGTTAAGGATAGTGAAGGAAGTTGATGGGGAAGGAGAAGGAGTTTAGGAAATTGTTATCACAATGTTATGTTTTAAAGAATCAGAATCAGAATCTAGTTTATTGCCAGGAATTTGCTTTGGTGTATGGTGGTGCAAACATAAAAAAGATAAGAAAATAAGTTGTAAGAGAAGGTACAAAATATATTGTTACATAAAGAAAATATTAAAAAAAGAATAAAGACATGTATTTACACCAAATATAAATATACAAAATAAACTAAAAAACGTAGTACAATGAATATATGACAACCGCAGTATATTGTATTTGAAAGTGGAGGGCTGTGCAGAGTTTTAGAGAGGAAGGGATATATAGAAATGTGCAAAATACATTCAGAGAGATGGACATTCCTCATGAAAGAAATGCCTTTATTTGAATAAAAAGCAGGGAACCAGTAAATAACACAAACCAATGTTACTGAATGCTGGATGTTTCCCAGATAAGGAAGTGTCAAAACACACACAATGCTGACAAAAGAGCTTTAAAAACTGCACCTGAATTACGTGTCACAGTAATACAATAACAAAAAACAAACCAACCCACATTAAGACAAGTCAATTCTCAGCTTATTACTTAGCATACTATTTTAACATAAACATATTCGTACTACCATGATCTGTCTCGGTGGTTAACTGAGCAACCACCTCCTTACTACCAGTAAAGTTATGGCAACTGTCATATGGCATGAAAGTATAACTACATTAGAGATACATCAAAACAATAAGAAATTGCTTGGTGTTTGAAATGGTATGCTAAATGTGGCCATAAATCCTCACTTAGCATAGCTGAGAAAAGTCATATTAAAAGGAGAGCAGTAACGCATGTATTACACAGTCCTCTTCTCAGGCTGCACTCCCAAAAGTTTTTGACATAGCTTAGCATGCTAACACTCCTGCACATTGGGATTGATTCGTTGGCTACCATTCGAAGCAGCAAACTTGCAAATGGCGATTATTGCTAAATAGATGTTGCCACATGCTGAGTGGGAAGTCGGTGACTTTACGTTACGTTTGTTTCTGGGACAAGACAGTCTAACGTTAGCTAGCTAGCGAAGGTAAGCTATTCTACCACCTAGCATAGTAGGAAAGCTCACTGGTGAAGTAACGATACAGCGACCATAGAAAACTTCTCTCCCATGAGTTTTCAGTAAGGGAACATGTAGTTACGTCTTTAACTTACCTTGTCAGAGTGTGCAGTTCACCTCACAGCAACACCATGGATAAACGGCGAATAGCGCACACACACACAACTTTTAAACCTCACACAGGTTGGTTGACGTACATGTCACATCGCCAACTACTGGCAAAAGCAGCTGTTGTTGACCTGCATCAAGTCAAAGTGAATGTCAAACGCAGCTTCCGGCTGAACATTTCAAAATAAATTTAAAACCACCTTATCTCTAATATACATTTTTTTTACTATCGTTGTTTACTCTTTATTCAACAGAATACGTAAATAATAGGGAATTTGTAGGTTACAATAATCATTTTCAAGTTTAAAGTTAGGTACATAAAGCATTTATTTCCTGTCGTATTTGTGCTACCCTCAGATAGCTACTTCCGCTAACAGCCCCACCTTTGTGATGATGAATGAGGGTTGGCAACAAGTTAAAGTACTGAATAATGAGGAAATATATAAATGTTTTTTTAATTGAATTATTAATTTTGTAAATCTTTTAGTTTTACCGTTTTTTAATAGATTTCATTTATGTATATGTTCTGACTAGATACACTTTTTGATATGCATTGCTTTGCTTTCAAATTGCAGATTCTACAGATTAATTCTGCCTTTTCACCAATTCCTTTATTAGACTTACTTTATCTTTAGTTTGATCAATGTAACAATGTTTCTGGTGACATTGAGTGTGTTGGACTTTAATATGAGCAACAATAATAACATGAGATAAATGTTTCTTCAATTAGAAAAACAAAACTAGATCATACTACATACTGTAACCATCAATTGTAATCTCAACAGGTTTTTTGGGTCCAGTCCTTTCCTTTTTCTGCTAAAATTGAATGAAAACACAGAAACTGTGAACCAAACAGCTTTTATTAATCAAATCATTAGTGGTTAAGCAATGCAACATTATACTAGAATCAGTTACCAACAAAACAAAAGCAAGGAAACAGTTAAGTGTGAACTACATTTGATGTTCCATTGACATCAGCCTGCGCACACCTGCGTGTTGTTATTGCTCTGGCAGACATGGCATTGTTAATCCACTTTGAAAGGCTTAGCCTTAAACGACTGATATAATTCTCTAACTCAATTGTATTTAAAAAAGCTAGGACATTAAACCTTGCTTACATGTTAGAGTGTCAATGTCATTTGTTGCCCTGTGAAATCTGTGCAACCATCAAAATGATTTGGCCTGAGAAGCTTTATTAAATGCAAAAGAAGTGCAAGCAGCAGAAGGCAAGAGGCTCTCTTGTAAAAAAAACTGCATATTATCTGCATTTGCAGTGATTCACATTATATACAAAAAACACTAATAAAGCTGTGATGTGTCTAAGCTACAAACTGAACGCTGACAGAACAAATGCTGTGGCAATGTGTTAAACTTTGGCAAGGGTTATATATAAAAAAACATTTTTACTCATACTTTCGATTCACCTATGCATTAGCGTCTGCGACCTGTTAAGGATAAGTGCATAGGTGAATGGAAATGTATCTTGAAAATGCTAGAAAATGTATTAATTAATTCTTGAACACAGTAGTTGTAAATATATAAAACATATATAAACCTTATTACAAATAAGTAAATGTGGACAAGAGATGAAAAATGTGTTGTAATATCTAAATAAAATGGTCATTTGTGAAGAGAACACTTTAGAGATCTAGTGAAAGGCACCTTTAATATGGAGCAGAGGAAATGAAATGACTGGACACTAGGGGTCAGTGTCAGACCTAGCTAGTACACACTCTCCTTTTGTCCTGTGAATGGACAGGTCCCAATAGTACACAGTTGATAAGACTGTGAACTGGTTCTTGCTGAGAGTATTGGTCCTTATCTCAGTTTATTTACGAAACACATCTTAAAAAAGGCACATAACACGATGTATATGAAGATTTTCAGAAGATAATCTGTCTCTGCCTTTGATTTGCAGACCTTCATTTTCATGGGAACTAGTTATCATTTGGCAGGACAATGTCGCATTAGAGTCCTGCAACAAGGTGTGATACAAATATTAGGCTGTCAATATTGCATAGGCATTGATGGCAGCCATGTGTACATTGTGTTCACATACAAATGCATGTACAAATATCTAACTGTGAACTCATCAAAATCTAGAAATGACAACATGGTAACTAAGTAATGAGTACATTAAGCAGGGTAAGATAACACTTCAGTATTTAAACAGATGAACGACACAGGGGTGGAAGGAATACTTTTGTGTGTGTGTGTGTGTGTGTGTGTGTGTGTGTGTGTGTGTGTGTGTGTGTGTGTGTGTGTGTGTGTGTGTGTGTGTGTGTGTGTGTGTGTGTGTGTGTGTGTGTGTGTGTGTTATGTAATAGGACATGTGTTTAAGCATTTTAAGCACCAATATGTACTCAGTTTGTTTATGAACAATTTGGAAATTAGGATTTCACTGTTCAACTTTCCATTGGACATTAATACTATAATTCAGGACAGGAGATTATTCCTTTCCATATGCTTGCTTGGGTTTTTTTTAAATAGGAGGACATGGTAAAAATACGTTACAATGCGATGATGGTGTCTTCCTTATTGTTTCTTGACTATGTCAGTTCCACAATGGCCCCACCTCCCTTCCCCAGCCAAGAACAAAGTTATTTTCGGTTTCCTCTTCACATTTTCTTCTTCTTCTTCTTCTTCTTTTTCTTCTTTCCAATTTCACGATCATCAACTTCACTCAAACAAATATGGACTCTAAACACTGTAGCAGCTAGCTACATTACCCTTGAAGTGCTTGTGCACTTGGGAATATATGGGATATGGGAAGATTTGTATTATCCCTTGAAAAAGAAGCCCTTTCTGGTGATTTATTATTTTGTTTGCACAACTTGGGTCCCTATTTTGTAGTTAATGCCATTATTCGTAATGGTGATAATAACATTGTCTTGAAAAATTAACTGTCTCTATCTGGGAATGCTGCAACCCAACGTCAGATTACCTTCTAGTCCCTACTCTTTTTGCACCAATACAGTTGTTCTATACTGGTAAACTTCCTGGCACTAGCTTTGCTCTTTGGTAATGTTTTAGCAACATTAACATTCAAGTCAAGAGATGCAAACAGTCGGACAATCAGAAAGGATGGTTTGTAGGCTTGCCAAACTTATACGGTGGAGAAACAAAGATGAACAGTACTGTCCTTATGATAGTAGTGCTTGTCCACACGTTTTTCTGTAAGGTGATCCACTGACAGTTTATGTGTACTCCATATATAAAGTGGTTTGTACTTTACATAACCCTAACCCTAACTCAGCTGTCTAACCATCTGACTGACCTATCTTTTCACGTGTTCCCAGATCTCAGCAATTACTTGGAGGTACAAAGTTATCATAACTGACACTAATAATGGCTGAAACAATAACAAAAATAGACCCAAGTTGTCATGAACCATATTTTTTTCTTTAGCAATCCCCAATTTTGCTTTCACAAAACAATCTCAGGGATTATGTAAAGATCTTGGCCAATTCCTTATTCTTTATCTAGTCGCTGTCTCTATCTCTGTCTTCATTCTCCTGCAGAGCCTCTTGGCTGTCTTCCTCTTCATCCTCGTCAGCTTCCTCCTCATCCCCTCCTCCATTCATCATCTCCATCTCAAGCTCCACTGCGCCCTCCTCCACCTCCCCATCCACTCCACTGAAGGCATCAGCATCCTGGGACACCTCCACCATCTCGGTTCCCTGGATCACCTCTTCGGCACCCTCACGGATTTTCTTGACGTGGAAGGTGAAGGGGGGCACCTTGTACACAGCAGTCTGTGAGCGGGCGTAAACCACATGGTCCGGTGTGAAGGACTTCTTCACCTTCTCACGGGATGTCACGATCTTCTGCTTGCGATCAGGGTTGACACTCATCCGTGTTCCGAGCTTCCCCATCTTCTTCTCGATGTTGTGACGTGTCTTCTCCAGATTGTCCTTGGTCTTCTGTTTGGTCTTCTCCAAAGTATCCTTGGTTTTCTGCTTGGTCTTCTCCAGGTTATCTTTTGTCTTCTGCTTTGTCTTCTCAATGTTTTCCTTGGTTTTCTGTTTGGTCCTCTCCAGGTTCTCTTTGGTCTTTGCTCTGTTCTTATCCATCTTCTCCTTTGAGAAGACCGTCTTCAGGGTTTGTACACGCTGCAGGCTGCTTCGCTTGATGCGCTCGGCGCGGGACTCCTCGATGGTCTCCTCGATCTCCAACCCCTCCTCATCTGACGAGAGGTCTACATGGGGTTTGTCTGCCTTCTCTGCTTCCCCTGCCTCCTCCCCTTCCACAACTTCCTTCAGCTCCAGCATGCTGCCTCCTCTGCTTCCTGACACAGACTCAGAAACCCTCAAGGATTTGGAGATGCTGAGTTTTGAGGGAACCTTCACTTCATCCTGTGGAGAAAAGAACATCATTTTGTTTATGAAAGTACTGTTAATGTAATTTAGCAAAACCAGAAAAAACGTTTAAACAGGAAATGACGGTTCAGGACAGGCTTAAACATTTTGGAAGTCCCAATAACATAAAAAACGAGTATAAAAGGTTGAAGGAACTGGAAAACCACTGAGAATAATACATCTTGAGATATTAATCTGCAGCAACTCCAACAGTATAATTACTGTATAGTCAAATTACTGCAGATTTGGATTGTTTAGTGGATGAGATTGTAAACATTTTCATAATATAATATTTTTGCATGTATTCATTTCTATTTGTGCAATTTCCCATTCTCTTTCTGCACAGGTACACACAGGCTCACTGTAGTGACTCACCAGTCAGAGTTTGCAACACAATAGAGGCATTAGAGATGTGGACTGATACAGTTTGGGACCAAGATCTAGGGGAATCAGTAACAAGACTCCAGGGTTCACTTCATTATGTCATGCCAGAGGGAGAAATGACAAGGAAGAATGTAAGACCAAGGGATGGAAAAATGGAAATGGAAATAGGTTGGGGGGGTTTCCTGGGAGCCGGGAGCAATGTGTTAAAGAGTTATGCAACAAAACCACAGTTTGAGTACAAAGCTGCACATACCTTTCCACACACACACACACACACACACACACACACACACACACACACACACACACACACACACACACACACACACACACACACACACACACACACACACACACACACACACACACACACACACACACACAGCATATTGAGAGTGTGTGAGTTCATCAGCCTATGGGCATGCATTTTGTGTACAAGTTCAAGTCAGTACACTGAAAAAACTGAATAGTTGACTTTAATTAAATGTATTACGTCAATAAATGTCACATAACTGTATTAAGTTAGTTGAAAGCAATAATATTACATTTTTTATCTAAACTTAATATTATTGCTTTGTCCAGAGACAGACAAGTGCTCTGCTGTCCCATGTTAGGTCTCAATTCAAGACAGAAATGTCCAAAATGTCCAAAGTCAAGACCAAGTCCAAAACTTTGTGTAAAAGGCCTAAATTAGTTATTATGCCCCCTTCACCAAATGCAATGGCATTTTGAGTTTGGAGACAGAGAAACAGTTAGTCTGTATTGTATACATCTTGACATTTGTAAATAACAACCATTAAATAAACAAAATGTCAATGAATGTTATAACGGAAATTCAAAAATAACTGCTTCTAGAAAAAGTACTCTTCAGTAACTTCAGTTCCAACTGAAACAATTTCAGAGGACATGCTGCTGATTGATTAGGGCAAATAAAGAATAAAGACACAACATTAGGAAATTAGCCAACATGATACAGTATGAGGCTAAAATGGTGAACTAAAACTAATTATCAGACTATGACCATAGTATTTACAGTATAGTCAAGTCTAGACTGGTGACATATGGTGTAAGGTTAAGCTTGGTAATATTACACTTAATATGGGCAGTCTTTCCTAAAGGGTCATCATAACAAATGTTCACTTGTACTCAGAATTCATTTAACTGAGTCATATAACATAACGTTTCCACACCCAAAAATATGGACCCATTACATTTCCGTCACTCCATGACCTAATACAAAAACATGAGATTGCCATGCAACTTGCTCATTGGTTGAGAAATGTTGATTTTATTGATCAATATGGCATTTCCAGCATCCCCTCAGGACAAAGTAGCCCTACTACCATCCAGGCTCTAAGATGAGACGCTTCGTCATTCTGTGCTGTGTGTTATGAACCCTTCAGATTTAGGACCCACTAGGTGTTTGTTGCAACATAAAAGTCTTGCTCAGCACAGTTTTGACACCTCCTGTACAGATTACCACGATACACTGTACTGCAAGTATAGGACAACCTGACCCGGCCCGCCCAGATAAAGCATTCCTGCACAGCACCATGCTCACCTCCTTCTGCCATCATACAACCCTCCATTTCCCCCCCTCCTCCATATCCTATTAACCTTTTTCACTTTCCTCTGTTTGCCTTGCAGTTAGGGAGCCTTTCTTTGTGCCTCCCTCACCTCATAAACACAATGCTCCGGCCTGTAAATGAAGCCATGTAAGGAGGGGTGAGGGAAGCGGCTCTTCCTCTTTCCATCACAGCAAATCCTCGTCCAATTAGGATCCTGAATGTCTGTGTGAGGGCCAATACTTGTTGTACGTACTGTATTGTCTTTTCCTGTCCCTCTACACTGCCTCTATGTTCAAAACAGGAACACAGACACAAAGGATCACAGGGAGGGGGGGGGGGGGGGGGGGGGGGGCCTAAGGTGTGGAAAGGGAAGACACTTCTGTGCTGTTGTATGACTCGAGTAATAGCACATGTGGGATGATGCTTCTGAGTCTTGGAAAACCATCTGCTCAGCAGGAAGATGATAGCATCAAAGTTTGGCTGGAAGGTGGAGGTATGGGAGCTGACGGGGACTGAGGGGGGGGCTCATGTCTATTGTGTTCTGTTCAGCAGTGTGATGGTGGTTTTATGAAGGTATTGTACTGCGGTATCTTGGGTAAACTTGACCCTGGATGTGGGATCTTGGCTTTCCTGAACAGCTGTGTTGACAGGCGCGGTGCTGGAAAATACCTGACCTGCTAATATTCATCACATCATGTTTGGATCCCAAGAACAATGCGCTGGGTGTTGTAAATCGCTTAAGCAACGTGTAGACCGATTCTCTGACACGGCCACACACACTGTCACAGGAGTTCTGATTAAGGTCCACGTTAGGGTTGAATGTTTACGTGCAGCTTTCTCTTATGGGAATACATGTTTGAATGACAATGGAGTTTCCTGATATATCATAGACAATTCAAACATAGACAACACTTTTGACTTTAATTAAATGTATTATGTCAACAGATTTCACATAACTGTATAAGGTTAGTTGAAAGCAATAATATGAAGTTTCATATACATAAATGAATATTAGTTTCTTAATATTACTGCTTTCAACTAACCTAATACAGTTATGTGAAATCTGTTGACATAATACATTTAATTAAAGTCAACGTTTCAGTTTTTTCAGTGTATGGAATAATGATGTGAATTATAATCAACACTTAGTTTAGTTCCACCTGGAGTACATTTACAAGCTACCCTGCAGTTTACAAAGTAATTCAAACTAGCCGCACATTTCACTTTGACAAACACATTAATATAACTACACAAATATTCTGGAGTCATTTTAGGCTTTGTTGATTAATAAACTGTCACACCCATGAAAAGGTTAAACTAGCTGAATCTCATAAGCTTTTTGAGCTTTAGCTGGACTGTTACTTTATCTCTGGAGACGTACAGTGTGAACAGTGTGTGCCCGGGGAAGCCCCGTCTGTCAGCTACAGTGTTGGAGGTCACTAATGTGTTTGCATAGACCGAATTCATCAGGGGGGTCTGTGCTGCAGTGCATGTGTGTGTGTGTGTGTGTGTGTGTGTGTGTGTGTGTGTGTGTGTGTGTGTGTGTGTGTGTGTGTGTGTGTGTGTGTGTGTGTGTGTGTGTGTGTTTGTGTGTGTGTGTGTGTGTGTGTGTGTGTGTGTGTGTGTGTCCAAGTACATGGAAAGAGAGGGAAGTTCAGGCATTCACCTTAATGTGTTGACATCCTGACCCTCCTAATTTAATGGGGCATTGTTCTCTATGACGCTTCTGAACAAAACACAGGAAGGTACACTCAGAGCCATGGAAAATAGAGAAATGAGGTATGTAATGGCTCTGTGTGTGTGCTTGTTGACGAGTGTGTGTCTGTCTGGGGCGTGGCAGTGAGACTACATTTTGCCTTTAGCTCTTGCAAAAGGAGATAATTTCCATATCTGGTTTGTACTTTCATTACTAAATGATCAGGAGGGAATTTAGTTGCAAAACACACTAAACCACAATCTGTGTGCGTGTATAAGAGGCAGAGAAAGTCACTGTGTGTTGGAGCGATGGGAGTTTTCATCTCGTGATTTGCTACAGCACAATATGGGGCTGCGCTCTTTATCTCCTGTTATGCCTTCATGTGGATTTGTGTGTGTGTGTGTGTGTGTGTGTGTGTGTGTGTGTGTGTGTGTGTGTGTGTGTGTGTGTGTGTGTGTGTGTGTGTGTGTGTGTGTGTGTGAGTGTGTGTGTGTGTGTGTGTGTGTGTGTGTGTGTGTGTGTGTGTGTGTGTGTGTGTGTGTGTGTGTGTGTGAGTGTGTGTCAGATGCTGAGATCAGCTGCCTGATGCTCTGTGTTGTCAGCATAATGCAGTGTTTCTCTTTCATGATGAGTGTGTGGGGGGGCTTCTGTCCCACTCTGCCTCTGAACAGCCCAGCACAAGTGTTTTGACCTGAACCCCTAAAGTTTATTTAGTTAGTTTCACTCTAAGTTATAAGATATTTATATATATATATATTTCAGTTTACAAGTATAAATTCTATACCTGTTTGCCGTAAGTTGGCAGGAGGCCATTCAAATCAATGTGCCACTGTGTTACATTATACTGCTATTGAGTGGTCAAAGTCGGAAATGTTCAAATTCTAGTAAAAGTAGATTTAAAGGGCTGGTACAAGTGGTTCTGCATGTTTACATTATGTATGACTTACAGCTGTTCATTTTGCAAAGCATGCAGCATGGATCAAATCAATTAAATGTATTTTAGTCCATGTTATGCATAGTACTGTATGAAATGTCTTAGTCTTGTAATTTATCAAAGTTTATCAACACTGTATTCATTTTTGTCCAAGTTTCATTCTTCTAGGAGGCTGCTTTGTAGACTTTTCAATTCAATCTGCACTATAACTGCATAACTAAGTAACACTACTGCAACAACAGAACAAATGAATGCACCCTTGGAGTTCACAAATGGATTACAATCTTTCGTGAACTTTCATTACTAAACAAAAAACAAAAAAAGGAAATGGCTGCCCTTCACAGAAGTAAAAACATTTTGTCAAATCTTAAACTATTAAGCAAACCAAAGGATTACCTAGTGTGTGTTGTATATTATCATTAACATATCACTGAAAGCACGCTTTCCTGTTTGTTCCTTTGTGTTTCCTGAAAGTCACATTTTACAGTTTTAGGGAAGTTTCATGTGGGCATAGTTGGATTTTCTGGGCGTTGCCAATTGGTGAGCCACACGCTGACGATCAACCAGCTCAGAGGAACCATGGCAGCAACAACAATGCCAGAGCCATACCTCAGCCAAGTGTGTGCATAGGACACATTTTGATATGCCTTACAGCTACATCTGTGCTTCTGTGCCTCGTGCCACTATTACAACATGTTTTGCATAAAGTGAACTCGTAAAGATCATGCCAGAACTAACCATTTTAGATTTTTTTGCCTCTCGTGGCATTCAAAAATATGTTGTTGTACTTGTGTCTCCATGGTAACAGTGGTGAGCTTGAACTATAATGTTTCCAGATGAAGGGAAGGATTGGAAAGCAGACAGAAGTTGTTTGTTTGTGTAATGAAGGTCTTTGTATGTGTGTGCACAAGCTTTGACTGTGCCTGAACGTGTGTGTGTTTGTGTGTGTATGTGAGCGCACCATGGAAGCTTTCCACTCCAAGCCCACACTGCAACCACTCATCAGCCTTATGTAGAGTGAGAGACAGGAATCCCAGTGCAACACACCCCTCTCTGTTTCTGCTTTCCTGTTTAAACTTAAACCACAAAGAACTCCCCTACTGCTGTGGAAAGAGTGTGTGTGTGTATGTGTGGCTGCAATAAATTGTGCACTCACGCAGCACATGTACAGTTGCTAGCATAGATGCAGGAAACACTCAAACACACACTCGCGCAAAAAGGGGATTTTCCAGTAAATCCAGGAAGATGGGGAATCCTCATAATACTGACGTACAGAGGAATGTGGGCAGTCAAAGAATCAAATGAGGACATTGTCTTTCTTCTTCTGGAGCTCTGGAATCACAATCTAACAATCTCATGATGTTCATTCAGCTGATGGCCTTTACCAAGTTGTCATGGAAATGTTGATATCATTTAGATCAGGTGATGTGATATTAAGTAAAGGCTCCACTAAACTGATATTACATGGGCCTTGTGGTGAGATCAGTTTCTTAACTGCTGTTTTTAAGGTTAGGAATTCATTTTGACCTTTAACTCACTTAACAAATACCCTTTATGGCTCCATAAGCCACACAAAGAAAGTAAAAAGGGTAATTAAACATCTTCTGGAGGCTCTGGAACACTTCATTTTCATTTTAGATAAAAGAGCATTTCTATACACAGCACGTTGTAAATCTTTTTATAACAAAGACTACACAAGCTAAGCCAAGAGCAGGCGAGCGCCATGGAATTACTCATGGAACATTTTGGACCAGGGACAGATGGTAGAGGGGCATTTATGTGGCTGAATCATTCATACTGGAGTGTAATGTTTGAGGCAGCAGGAATAATTCCCCCTCAAGAGTTTAACCTTGATTGTTATAGGATTTGAAGCTTACATATCTGAGATATGTTAAAACCTGGATAGTTCAAACAAAACTATTTGCATACAAGACAGATTAAAGGGGTTTATTTCTGGCCAAAGTCAGAAGCATCACCAAAACAGTAAACTGCTGATCTGTGAAATAACTGTAAACATGTAAATCTGTTTTCCTCTCTGCTGCTGTCATTTCAGGCGATATAGTTGCGACCCCCTCTCTAACCTCCAGTCAGAACATCCAGTGCCCAGGTTGAGCTCATTAAATATCCACTCCTCATCAAATCCAGATCTTCAGCCTTTTCTTCATCTCATCACCATCACCACCTGTGTCTTTATTAATGGGCATTTCATTTACTAACAGCTTCAACTCCCCCCAAAAAATGCATGATATCAAGATTGGGTATAAATGACAACGACATTTCTTATGATTTTCTACCAAGTCAAGAAATATTAGTAAACCTCATGGGGTTTGTGCAGTCTGCCCAGAGCAGAAGGCTAATTGCAGCTTGGAGGGTCTGAGTGCTGAGTCATGAATCTCCAAAATGTTGGAACAATGATTGCAATGATTGGCTCAAAGCAGCTGTTAATCTGTTTCAAAAAAAGTTGACTTGTCCAACAGCAGCAGAGGTCCAACCCTTGAGCCCGTCCACCAGCATCAGTGTGAATGACCAGCCGTTAGCAGGAAGCATGACACATGTTTAAGAGCAGATTGAATGGAACCACAAGTAGGAACATTTTCTCCTAATACGTGTTTTTTTCCACTTTTGTAAAAAAACTAATAAATATGTAACATGCTAAAACAATGTGTGAGTAAAGCTCAACTCTTCATCTACTACATCAATGCCACTGATAAAGGCTTCGCTGAGATAATCCTGCTTCCTCTACTTGGACATTGACCAAGTTAGTAGCTAGACACAAACTTCAGGTATACATTAGTGTCTTTATGCAAACTTTGTGGGTGTGACTTTTGTTTGGGCTTGCAAGTACTCCCCCCAAAGCATCATA